AGGTTCAAGGTTGACTCAGCCTTCCATCCTTCCGAGGTGGGGCAGATGAGGACTCAAATTTTTGGGTGCTATAGGCAGACTCTGTAAACCGCTTAAAGATGGCTGTAAAGCACTTTAAAACGGTATATATGTCTAAGTGCTATTGCTATAAGCATTCTCCCCTTTTATTAATTTTCAAAAGAGAGCAGGAAAATCAGACCCCTCCCAGTTTGACACCCCTGTTGTAAGGGAAAAAATAATCAAAATGAGGACGTTGGAAAGCACTTGGCACTGACATCATTAGATAAAATACAATGGCTTTTTCAGGAAGGTGATCATAGTTGGACAGTTTGTTTACTTAGCCAATTTCTTTGAAGTGCCCATCAGAATCAAATGCCATAGAGCAGAAAAAATCAGAAAAGAACTTGGAAAAAGTGATATGGCAGCTGATGGATCTTCCCAAACCAGCCTTTCCTCTGTTAAGTCCAATATAACACTGTAAAATATCACAACAGCTGTGCAGTATTTGAATAAATATTTCAGAGGCAGGAAAATATACCTGGTGTTCAGCTCCCTCATCATCCTTTTTTTTAATTCTAGCAGTCTAAGATATCAATGTTTTGCTAAAATGTAATGCCAAAATAATATATGGTACTCTAAACACATCCTGACTGATGCAGGTTAGAAAAAACCTTAAAAAAATTATTTACAGAAAAGCTTCTAGATTCATTTTTGAATATGAATGTAGCTTTATTGGATCTATTGGCTTAACAAACTCTCCTGGTGACTTCTACTTCCAAATTATTTCTCAATAAAGGTGGAGATAGCATCCATTCATGGGTTGACACTGTCCACTCTCTGATTGGACTGAGTCTGATTACTAATTAATTAGTATCCTTTATAACCCGCCCTTGTGAGTGGCTCCACCCAGCTTTTGACTCAGTCCATTCTGGGACAATCATGTTATCCAATTGCTCTTTCTACGTTTGGTTAATATCAGGCTAATTGATTTGGAATATTGACTTCTATCATTGGATTGCAGTGTGAGTACGTATTTAAAAGACTGGCTCCAGTGCAGGGTGTCCTTAGCGCCCAGAGGCCAAAGGGTTTCAGCCCACAGGCCCGTGCCTTCTTGACACCATTGGTGCTACAGCCTCGAACGCAGCCCTGGCTACTGCTACAAAGGGCACCTAAATGCCCACAAAAGGCACCTGGACCTTGACAGCTGCATTTTCAAAAGGCACGCTTAAAGTCTGCAGAGGCACCAGGACTTTGACAGATGCATTTGCAGCTCTAACTGCAAGGCTTGTTTGCCGCGCAGAGCCCATACATCAAACAGCACCGCCGCGATCTGCCTCCTTAGAGCTCTCAGCGGCTTACACTATAGTGCTAGACGCGGCACTTTGGAGACTGCAATTTTGGCTGCGTAAGGCAGGGAAGAGCGACGGCAGCACAATTGGGTCCCGTTTCCTTCAAACTCTGCAGATGAGTGCAGCACGGCTACTGAGACTTCCCGGGGGCGTGATTGGCCGTGAAGCGCTGCAGGCTTACCGGTAGGAGCGGACAAATTGCCTACAACTCCAGCTCCCTTCTGTGTGACCGGGCATAGAAAAGGGCGTGAATCGCCATTTTTGAGTGGGCGGAGTTAGGACAGGAGGCACGGATGCCATTTTGTCTCCTGAGGTCCCTGGCAAGCTAAGATGGCTGACATCAGTCTGCCTGAAATCCCCTCAGAGCCCAGCAGAGACAGATGTGAGGCAGGGCCAGGCTTATTAGTTGCAATCCAGACCCCTCTTTCTCCTGCGAGACCATCCACCTCCCAAGGGACTGCAGGGCCAAAGTAAGAGCTCTAAAACATCCAGCAAGAGCTCAAAGGCCCCTCAAAGTCGGTCGCTAAAACCAAGCACCTGGATAAGCCCAGGACATTGTATCACTCCTCTTCATGGCCAGATGAGTACCAGGCAGCAACCAATCGCACTAGTCACCTGCCTCTGTTAGATTTAGAGGTGACCCAGGGTCCCTTTAGTCCAATAATACCAATCAACACGTCTGGGCTCTGGGGCAGTAGAGTATCACAGCCCCAGGGAAGAAGTGTGGAGGCCACTTTTACCCTCCACGGCAGTGGGCAGTTGCCACCTATCCTGGCCATGCACTCCATGCCAGCCATGTGCTTCATGACAACTAGCTTCCAGGACATTATTGCAGAAGCCATTAAGCAGGGCACTGCAGCTGGGCTACAGGAAAGAGCTTATGAGACACCCACAGAGTCTCCGAGGGCCATCCCTAGGGCAGAGGTGACCCCAGAGATGGTTGAGGACCTATCCCCGGCTCGATATCATCGCAGCCAATCCCCTGTCTCTGAAGAGGGAGAGATCAGGGAGGCAGAGTTATCAGAGGAGGAGAGGACAATCCCAGATAAGCCCACCTGTACGGGGCTCTTTCCTCCTGCCTTGTTTAAACCATTACTATGCAAGGCTAAGGCCTCATCTGAGCTTGGGGGGCAGGCGGAGGTCTCCACAGTCCCCTCACAAGCCCCATCAGCCAGTGCCTTGTTCATTGAACACAAGTCCTCAAGCCTGAGGATAAGAGGGCTGACCAGGCCCTTCAGCAAGGATACCAGGCATCCGCCTGGACTGTGTGGGTATCGACAGCCGCTTCATTCTTTTCCAGGTCCAGCTTGTTTTGGCTACAACAACTGCAAGAGAGGCTCCCTGCCGGTGACTCCAGGGCTCACCAACAGCTGAATAAGATTGTCACTGCGGTGCAATTTACCTCGGACACCATGCTCAGTGCCACTAGATTCGCTTCCTGAGCCATGGCTTTATTGGTGGCCTCACGCAGACTTCTGTGGCTACGACAGTGGCAAACTGACATGAGGCACAAATGGCGTTTGGCTTCCGAGCCTTACAAAGGGAGGACCCTCTTTGGGGATGTTCTCCATTGTTAATCAAGGGCAAGGATAAGCGTAAGATTTTGTCATCTAACCCAAAAGGTGGGGTTTTCTGCTCATCTCCCTACACCAGGAGGCAGCACTTTCGGGTGCATGATTACGACGGATCCTTTCGCAACAATGACTATCCCCCATCTGGCTTTAGGCCACGGGCGGGTTCAGCCAATGCCCAAGACAGCAGCCATACAGGCAGCAGAGAGGAAGCCAAGCCAAGTGAAGAGGCAGTAACCAATACTACCGCAAGTCCTAACCTGACCAATGGCCGGTTTCCCATTGGGGGGCGCTTAAGGCATTTTGCTGCCCAGTGGGAGGCCATCACATCCGACAACTGGGTTAGGCCCAAGGTCAGGTTCGGTCTGACCTTGGAGTTCGTCTCCACTCCTCCAAGGTTTTTCCTTTGTTGTCCCGTTTCTCGCAACCCGCAGAAACAGCTCCTGATTCAATTGGCCATCCAGCACCTCTTGGACATTAGGGCCATCCACAAGGTGCCGGATGACCAGATCCATCAAGGTTTTTATTCTATTTTATTTGTCATTCCCAAGTCCTCGGCGGGGTGGAGAGCGATTCTAGATTTAAAAAGACTTAACAGATACATATGGTATAGACATTTCAAAATGCATTCGTTAAACACAATTTTAGAAGAGGTTCGTGAGGGGGATTTCCTGACCTCAATTGATTTAACGGAGGTGTACTTGCATGTACCCATCCTCCGACAACACCGTCAATTTCTACGCTTTTGTAATAACTTGTGTCATTACCAATACAGAACTTTGCCTTTTGGACTGTCCTCAGCACCCCAGGTCTTTACTAAGATCTTGCCGCCCTGGCAGCACATCTGAGAACCGTTCCCGTAAAGGTACAGCTTTATCTCGATGATATATTGGTGCAATTGGTCTCACAGGACAGGGCCAGGGATGACCTCTCCACCACAATAGGGATACTCCACTCCCATGGTTTCTCCATTAATGAAGTTAAGAGCCATTTCACTCCGGCCACCACAATCTTCCATCTAGGGGCTTGGATTAACATGGTGGCGGGACAGATTTTTCTCTCTAGGGAACGACAGGACAGTCTTCGACAATTGGTAGCAGATGTGGAAAGAGGACACAGGGTTTCACTTGCTACTCTATCCAAACTACTGGGGAAAATGGTGTCAGCCATCGCAATTGTACCCTGGACAAGGCTGCACACCATGGACCTGCAATGGTTCTTACTCCCGTTCCAAAAGAAGAGAACCAGCACTTCTCTGGCAAAGGTGAACTTACCTCTGGAGGTTCGTAGGTCCCTCCTCTGGTGGAGTTCCCCCACCATTGATAGGAGATGCCATTTTAGGGTAACCAGTAGGATCACCATAACCACTGATGCCAGCCTGTATGGCTGGGGAGCTCATATGGGGTTACACATAGCACAGGGCCAGTGGTGGCAGGAGGAGGCAGAACGAAGCATTAACTGGTAGAACTCAGGGCTATAAGACTGGCTCTACTGAGCTTTAGACGTTCCATCACAGGACAACATGTCCTGATCCTAACAGATAACATGGCTACTAAGGCCCACGTAAACTGGCAAGGGGGCAGTAGATTGAGAGATCTCATGCTGGAGACCAAAATCCTGGACATCTGGGTGAAGGTACACCTCCTGTCAATCACAGCCGAACACATTTCAGGGGTGGCAAACGTTAGAGCTAACTGGCTCAGCAGGGCCAAACTAGACCAGGCCAAGTGGAGACTGCATCCTTGTCTCTTTCAGGAGCTCACACAGTGCTTTGGGATCCTGCTCGTGGATCTATTTGCCACCCCATCCAACACACAGTTCCCCAGGTACTTCACAAGGTTCCATACACCAGGAGCAAAGGGGGTGGATGCTCTTCGAAGCCCCTGGCTGCGAGGACTCCTCTATGCTTTTCCTACGGTACCTCTTCTCCCCAGGATCATCCGCAAGATCATCAGCACCAGAGTGGAGATCGTCCTTCTTGCCCCACACTTGCCACGTCAGCTGTGGTTCACTAATCTTCAAATACTATCGGTGGAGAGACCCTGGAGGATCCCCGCTGGACAGGATAGCCCTCAGTCAGGGATAGCTGGAGCACCCAGACCCTCAGTGTTTCCAGCTGACCGCCTGGCGATTGAGCGGAGTGCTCTGAGGGCAGACAGATTCTCCTCCAGGGTCATTGACACAATACAGGCCTCTAGAAGGCCCTCCATGGACCGTATTTTTAATGCAACCTGGCAGATTTTCTGTACCTGGTGCTCGGCCAGAAACATTGTACCTAGTGTTTCATCTGTCCCTCAAGTCCTGGACTTCCTCCAGGATGGGCTGGAAAAAGGGTTATCCCCTAACACTATTAGGAAGCAGTTGGCAGCTTTGAGTACCATACTTACCTGTGGGGAAGGCCAGTCCTTATCACAGCACCCAACTGTGCAGCGGTTCTTGAAAGGGGCCACCAATCTCAGATCGCCAGTGGTGCACCGATACTCAACATGGGATCTGACTAAGGTTCTGGAGGCACTCATCGGGCTACCATTCGAGCCCCTTCATACGTTTCCTATGCAGTTCCTTACTTGGAAGGTAGCTTTCCTGGTAGCCGTAACCTCTGTCAGGAGGATATCTGAACTGCATGCTCTGTCCGTGCAGGAGGACCTATGTACCTTCCACACTGACAGGGTGGTGCTCAGGCTTGGGTCTTGGTTCCACCGAGCCCAGGAGGTGGTCCTTCCCAACATCTGCCCTTCCCCAACCCATCAGTTGGAAAAACAATGGCATAAGCTAGATATACGTCGAGCACTTAAGATATATATCAACTGCGCGTCAGACATTCAGCGATCAGAGACACCCTTTGTCTCCTTCCAGACTGCCTCCCTGGGCAGAAAGGTCTTGGTGTCCACCATAGGTAGATGGGTCAGACGATGCATAGCTCCGGCGTACAAATCAAAACAGGAAATGACCCTTAGAGGCATTACTGCCCACTCTACAAGAAGCGCTGTCGCCACCACGGCATGGGCCACGCAGGCTTCTCTTGACGAAATATGCAGGGTGGTGGCATGGGCGTCTCCGTCACCCTTTATTAAGAATTACAAATTGGATAAATTTGCATCTGCGGACACGGCCTTTGGCTGCAGAGTATTACAGGCGGTTCATGCCGACAGAACTCATTCAGAACAGTCTTTGTCCCACCCTTGAGGACAGTCCTCCTTAGGTATATCCCATGCATGGATGCTGTCTCCACCTTTATTGAGAAAGGGCGTTGGTACTTACTTGATATGCCTCTTCTAATAAGGTGGAGATAACATCTAGCCCCGCCCTGTGGACGACTGTTCCTTTTTTCTGTATTCATGAGTTATTTGTTGATGGTTGATTTTGCACTGAGGGTTAAGCTGGATTACTACAGATCTGAGATTCTTGGTTACTAAAGTTTGACCATTTGGATAACATGTTAAGTCTGTCTTTTTCTTCACCGAAAGCTGAGTGAAGCCACTCACAAGGGTGGGTTATAAAGGATACTAATTAATTAGTAATCAAACTCAGTCCAATCAGAGAATGGACAGTGTCAACCCAGGCATGGATGCTATCTCCACCTTATTAGAAGAGGTATATCAGGTAAGTACCAACATCCTTTTTCTTCACTAAGCACTACCACTTTTTTCCTTTAGAGGGCAATATATTTCCATTCATGTAGCAATAATAACAGTTTTATAACTTTAATGTCGTTTGAAACTGTTCTTTTAATGTTTAAATATGCAGTGTTTATTCTTCTAGGAAAACCGCAGAGGATGAAAAAGAGGGAGATTATGCATCCCAAAAATGGAGGATTCTTCATACTCCAATTGCATGATGAACTTCTCTATGAAGTTGCAGAAGATAACATAATTCAGGTATGAGGGTGAGGGTTCATTCTCCAAGCTTGCGGGTTGGTTTCTGAATATTTCATTTCCAGGCTAAGTAACATCTTCAGTGGGGTTTAGGGGATGTCAGTGTTCCTCTGTTTATATGGGCTTCAAGTGTGGGTGTGTCAAGCAAGGGTCTTGTGATGATGTAAAGAGATTACATCAGTTCCCGATCATTGAGAGGTGAATTGCTGAGGGGGGCGGGGGTCGCATGGGTTGGTTGAGGTCATAATTCAGGTATGATTATAGAGTTTCCCTGAAATCCTTACAGATGGTTGTTATCTGTATGGTTATCAAGCTGACTGCAAAGAATACAATAAAAACCCAAAGGGAAGTTAGCAACTTCAGAATTGTTACTGGACTCCAATCCAGTTTTGTCCTTATGTTTAGTTCTACATCTTCTAGAAGTCACTTTAGACAGAAATTGCATTCAGAGCTATAGGGAATGAAGTGCAAATTGGCTGAGTGTCTAATGGAGATTTCTTGGTCATCCAGGACATGATTGTCTCAAAGATGCTTTTTCAAGAGGCAACTGGATGTTCAGTTTTTTTTCTTTAAAGACATTTCGCTTCTCATCCAAGAAGCTTCTTCAGCTCTGAAATAGCTGATTTTTCAGGCTGCAAAATGCCATTCAGCCCAACTCAGCTTGGGCTGAGTTTCATGAGTAAATAGTTCTGCATTTTTTTTAAATGACAAAATTGATTGATGCTTTGAAAGTCAGTTGTGTAATTACTTTTTCAGATTGTCTGAATCATTGTTCCTGTCCTAATATCAAAGATACTCTGACCCACTTTAAAGATGTATTCAACTTTGATAACTAGTAAAAAAGAAAGTTTGATGAATCTCATGGTAACCATGCACTCAGCTATTTTTCTAACCCGGCTTTGTTGTTGTTTTCAGGTGGCACAGATTGTTAAACATGAAATGGAAAATGCTGTGAAACTCTCAGTAAAGCTTTCAGTAAGGATCAAAATTGGGCCTAGCTGGGGAGATCTCCAAGACTTGGAATTCTGAATGATGAACAGATGTTTATAACGCACAATTCTATGAGGAAATGTGTAGGCTGGACACTTAGGCATCTTTCTTTCTTTCTTTCGCACTGATACATCCCTTAATATCTCAGAAAAAAATCTAAACCCCCTGCACTTAATTCTGTTAAGAAAATAATTCAAATTTCATGATATAACTAAAAACCACTATGAAATTATTTCACCAAATAGTATTAATTCCTGGTAATATCTTTGGATTCCAAAGTCAATATTTAACTGTTAAAATATTAATGTAAGATTATTTTTTAAATGCCATGCAGTTAGGAACAGCTAGAAGAATGAGTTATATTTTACTAGTACAACTTTTTTATGAAGAATATATATTTAACTTATTTCACGAACATAATGAAATATATGAATAATAAAATGCAATTAATCTATTTTGCTATGTGTGTAATTTGAATATAAGGAGTATCTGTATCTCAGGTTTCTGTAATAATTCCATGATTTTTTATATGCCAGGCAATAACCATATATGTATATGATGTTTATGAGTTTTCTTATGTGTAAAGGGGAGTACAAAATATGAAATACACCCTGCTAAAGGTAAATTTCTTCCATGTAGCACATGCATGAAATATCTGTCTATTATAGGGCATGGTCGGTGATTGGAATGTTCCTTGATATAATAGAATACAGTTTTATATTTAAAAATTTGCAATCCATTCCTTTCTTGTTTTATTTTTCATCTGACAAATCCTATGTAGTGTGCCTTACTATTCTGCTTTATCTTTTCTATGCAATGTGAAATCCGTCAATGAATTTGCTTCATAATATAATATACTTCATCACTTACTATAAAATAAATAGAGGCATGTTTCTTCTCTTGAGCTGCATTTGAAAATTAACTGCATTTGGAACTTTCACTTTGATCATCAGAAAGTCAGTATAGAAAATAATTACACAGAAAAAAGAAATGAAAACATGTTAATATAAATAAAAAATCTGATTACAGGTAAATCACAATTTAGTGCAGATTGTAAATTGATACCAAGTTGCATTTAATGCAACCCAAAATTTAGTTAATGCAAAGTTAACGTGCATATTTGATGTTAGAACATAAGCAATTGTGATTAAGATTTTAGACATTGCTAATCTTCATGCAAAATGGCCAAAAGGAAAATTCTATTGGAGAATATCTGCAAGTTTGAAATATTACATTAAAGCAAAATTTTGATATAATTAAATAAGACAGGTCCTAGCAATACTAAAACTGGAGGAGATGTTGGAATGCCTGGATTTCTGGCAGATTTTTTTTACTTTCATTTTATTTTCTATAACTATTCTGTGAACCATAAATTGAAATCATTAATATATTCTTTTTATCCCTTATTGCAATATTTACAGTTAGGTTTACCACATTTTCTATAAAAATACGACTTTGAATAGTAAGAATTTGAATAATGGTACCATTTTGTGGGATTCTTATTCTCACTAATTGTGATCTACTGTACCTGCAAAGCAAAAGTGGGGAACAGAATTTATAATAGAAGCCGGTATGAAGGAAGACAACACTACTGGCTCAAGTATCAGCATCAAGTAAAAAAAAGTGGTTGCACATTAGGACTCCTAGAACCCTTTCAGTTACTATTGTTGAACCTGGTGTCAACTATTTTATACCTGTACATTTGATTTTTCCTACCTAAGTGCAGGACCTTACTTTTCTTACCACTGAACTGCATGTTGTTGGATAAGGCCCAATGCTCACGTCTGTAAAGATCCTTTTGAATCTTGAGCCTCTCTTCTAAAGTGTTAGCAATTCCCCCCAGCTTGCTGTCATCTGAAAATTTGATGAACTCCCGTTCTATCCCCTCACAGATCACTTATGAAGATGTTGGAGGGTTCTGGCCCCAAAACAGAAGCTTAGAATACCCAACTGCATGCTTTTTTCCATATACAGGTAAAACTCGAAAAATTAGAATATTGTGCAAAAGTTCATTTATTTCAGTAATNACAATCCGGGTCCTCATTTTACCCACCTCGGAAGGATGGAAGGCTGAGTCAACCCTGAGCCGGTGAGATTTGAACAGCTGAACTGCAGAACTAGCAGTCAGCTGAAGTAGCCTGCAGTGCTGCACCCTAACCACTGCGCCACCTCGGCTCATGATGATGGTTTACCACCACATTGCTTAGTGATCAAAATTCTGTTCCCAGTTGTGGTTATAAGTTAAATACTATCCGTACCTTTCTCTTTTGTCGTCTTCTTGTTTGCTTTCCTTATCTCTTCTGTCCTCAGCTGGCAGAGACCCTCTTTTCCTTAAACAGAAAAACCTTGCTTGCTGGCTGATAATCATTCTCAGTCACTGAAAGCAGAGAGATCTTCATGACAGAGTGGCCAGGTCCAACTCAGTTGGAAGGAATTTGTCTTCCCTTTTATAAAGACTTTTAAGGAAAGCAGAGTTCAACAATTCACTGTATAGTGCCCTTAAAATAACAAAGCTGAACAAACCTATTGTTCAGCAAGTAAAATCTAATATTTCAAATGAAATAGCAGTTTTGTACCAGCAAAATGTCTTATTCTTGAATCTTGTTGGTTATTCACTAGTGAATTAGAAGATTTTCATTTTTCTAGATTTGCTATGGAATAATCTATGGAATTGGAGCTAAATCCTTAGGGGAGCAGATGGGTGTTCAAGAAACTGATGCTTTGTGCTTCATTGAGTCCTTCAAATCCAGATATCCAGGTAAAGATTGCCGGTGATCTATATTTCTTGATATCCTTGTTCAGTAGTTTACTAAACACAATGCTGGTTCAATGATATTCATGGACAAATAGTCCTCACTTAATTGGAACTGGAATTTCCATTGGTAAGTGATGTTGCAAGGTAGACTATGTATACCGATGAAGCTGTCTTTCCTGATATCTGTTTGTGTATGTGCATATTAAACAGAGAATGAGAATCTGAAAGTGTTATAAATAAAACTGCATTGTAAAACTCCAAAATGTTTGGTTCACAGATTTCCTAGGTAGTGGAAGCATAAGGGCTTGATACCTTTTCCTTTTTGTGTGTGTGTGTGTGTGGGTGGGGGGGAGAATCCCTCAGCCTGAAATTTATTTATGCATGTGTGAATGAACTAAGGGGCATGCAATGATAGGATACTTTGTATGGAAGAGTTCTGAAGGGAGATGTGTTTTGCTTAACTTTCTTCATTTCTGGGAAAACAAGTTATTGCTGCTGCTATTTAGTAAACAATTACTGGAAATTTGAGATATATCAACAGATTTAGATCTTCATGGCAGTTTGGAATCAGCTCTGGAACCATTTGTTCTCACTATGTTACAAAATCTAGAACATGTGTCTCTTTATTAGTAGGTGTGTGTGTGTGTAAATGCAACACATTTAATCTTTTCTGTTGAAATGTAAGAACTCTAGAAAGCTTCTGGTCAGGCTATTCCTCCATTGGAAAAACCTCTTGCCTCCTTCCTCTTGTCAGAGCATTGTTTCCCATGTTTGGAAGACAGTGGCCATGAAAACAATGCAGTGGGTTTTTTTGAAAGATCAGCACATGGAAACAGTAAGAGTGCGATAGTGTCCTTTGTCTAGTAATAATAGTAATAATAGTAACGAAACCTAAGACCTAAGCATGAAGCAGTATCATGTAAGACATTTCTTAGATCTATGAAGTCTGAGTGTTGAATAACAGTTGCTAAGATAAGGAAGTTAGATATTGTTAGTAAACATTAGCAGTATATGTGTGGACTCAACCAGGGATTTATATGTGATGAACTGAAAGCTGACCCCAGAAATGAGATAATATTATTTCATGTTTTTGTAGGTATTCAGAAATTCCTGAAAGAGACAGTGAAGAAGTGTACCCAGGATGGGTTTGTGCAGACAATCATGGGAAGGCATAGATACCTTCCAGCAATTAAGGAAACAAATCCTTACAAGAAGGCTCAGGTATAGTTATGTTAAACCGCTACATCTCTTTAAGGAAATAAAATGAATACATCTATGCAGTATTCAACCTTCCTAGTGCTACTATTCTTGTTCTCTGGATATCTGTATGTGAGCTTACCATTAATTTTCAAACATTGTTTGTTGTATTTCTAATTTCTTCTCCCTGTTGACCTGTCATTGTAATGAAATTGCAGCAACACAAACCATTTCTACCCACTCAGGATCCACATCTTGAGTGGATAGTAATCCTAGATATGTCAGTTGCCTAATTCTTATATGCTGAAAGAGCGTCTTCCAATTAACAATTGTGAGCCACCTGTTTTTTATTCAAAATCAGTACAGGCTTCTGATTCTAATATATTTCATTCTGTTTATTTCTTGCTCAGTTTAACAAACAAATTATCTGCATTCTTTGTTTTTGATGCACACTTACAAAAAATCTTCTCAACTTTAAGTTTTAAGATTATACCAACCCAAACATATGGGTTTTAATGCCAACTGTATGTCTTGTTTTGAATTGTCTTTAACATGATGAGCTCACCAAATTAATTTTTTTTAAAACTCATCTCCTAAAATGTATTAAATTGCATGCTTACATGCAATGCCACAGGTCTCCCTAGTAAAAGTACCGCATAGAGAAGTTGTGTTGCTTTACTACTGAACTATTCTTTTAACTGCCAAACCACTATTTCAAACTATTTCTTCAAGACCATTTCTTCATTGTTCTTCTTTCTCTTTTTTTAGTTTAAGATTCCATCCTTATTTATTTGTTTGCTTGCTTGCTTGATTATTATGCTTGTACTCACCTAATACTGTAGGTATTAGTTCTTTAGATTTGTTTGTTTTCATCTGTACTACAAAACACAGAAATGCTGCAGGAACCATTATTATTTCAGGCTGTTGTTATAAAAAAAAGAGACACACACACAGAAAGAGAGAGTTCCAAGAAAAAAATTAACATTCTCAGTTGAATATGGATTTTGTTACCTATTTATAGCAATTAATTTGTTTGCAATTCTGCACTATGATTTTCATGAACTTTAGGCAGAGAGGCAAGCTGTAAACACCATTATCCAGGGCTCTGCTGCAGATATTGTCAAGGCGGCCACAGTGAATATACAGACACAGCTGGAAGCTTTACCTTCAATAGTAAAATCTTTTGGACATTTGGAGAGCTCATTCCCCAAAATATTGTCAGGTCAGTCTTTTTTTTAATTCCTCTGTCTTTTTTACTTAGTATCAAATGTTCTACATTTTAAAAGTATGGGAAACACCTACTTTCATATAAGAAGGACATAAAATGTTTGCTCCTTTTTTTCCCCCATATGCAGGGGAAACTCGAAAAATTAGAATATCGTGAAAAGGCTTATTTATTTCACTAATGCAACTTAAAAGGTGAAACTAATATATGAGATAGACTCATTACATGCAAAGCAAGATAGTCCAAGCCGTGATTTGTCATAATTGTGATGATTATGGTTTACAGCTCATGAAAACCCCATTCTTCCTCCATATTCTGGGTCCTTAGTTTCCAAATGAAATGCAAAAGTTGCTCTCATCAGAAAAGAGAACTTTGGACCACTGAGCAACAGACCAGGTCTGTTTTTCTTTAGCCCAGGTAAGACATTTCTGACGTCGTTTGTTGTTCAGGAGTGGCTTGACAAGAGGAATCCGACATTTGAAGCCCATGTCCAGGATCTGTCTGTGTGTTGTGGTGGCTCTTGATGCACTGACTCCAGCCTCAGTCCATTCCTTGTGAAAGTCCCCAATACTTTTGAATGGCTTTTTCCTGACAATCCTCTCCAGGCTGCTGTCATCTCTGCTGCTTGTGCACCTTTTTCTTCCACACTTTTCCCTTCCACATAACTTTCTATTAATGGGCTTTGATACAGCACTTTGGGAACATCCAACTTCTTTTGCAATTACCTTTTGAGGCTTTCCCTCCTTATGGAGGGTGTCAATGATGGTTTTCTGCACAACTGCCAGGTCAGCAGTCTTTCCCATAATTGTGATTCCTACTGAACCAGACTGAGAGACCATTTAAAGGCTCGGGAACCCTTTGCAGGTGCTGTGGCTTAATTAGCTGATTAGAATGGGACACTTTGAGCCTAGACTATTGCACCTTTTCACAATATTCTAATTTTCTGAGATTTTGGATTTATGGTTTTCATGAGCTGTAAGCCATAATCATCACAATTATGACAAATCACGACTTGAACCATCTTGCTTTGCATGTAATGAGTCTTATCTCATATATTAGTTTCACCTTTTAAGTTGCATTACTGAAATAAATGAACTTTTGCACGATATTCTAATTTTTCGAGTTTCACCTGTATATACCTGACCAGGTTTTGCTTTCAGCCTGCCTCAGAACCCTAAATATTCCAAGCAGATATTTTGATATGATGAGTGGGTTTTCTTGGGTTCTGTATCAGCTAAAATCAATGCTCAATTACATTTTCATTTACAATGTAAATGAAAAATATAGTCAAGTAAGGATAATATTCTAGGGCTGTTTCAAGAAAGTAAAATTGTCAAGTCTTCTATTACTTTTTAGACAACAGCATTAGGTAAGGTAACAAGTAAGATTTGGAGAGAACCATGGGTCGCCAGGCTGACACATTTGATCCACAGGACCTTAAATGATGTCCTCTCTCAAAGTTTACACAGAATTTAAAGACAGTGACTGATGGGCTCTGCCAATAGCCCCTCTCTCTTATCATCTGACCTGCCGTAACTTCTGGGGAAAGAGGCAGGTCTAATATCTGTCTCTGCCTTTCATCAGTTAGACATCTAACAAAATGAAAAGTAATTTTTAGTCAAGAAAAATATTATTTTTCTGTTTATGCAGGAGAGGAAGATATTCATCTTTTAGAATATTCCCTCTTCTTATATTTTTAATGTCTATAAGAACCATCTGAATAAGCTTTAGGCTTCGAAAGAAAAGTACAAGAGAAACAAGAGGAGTATTCCAAGACTCCTTGTATCCCACATCTGCATGTTATCTTTAACAATAACAATAAAAATTAGCTCCTTTCTAAATTTTTACAAACAGGACAAAAAAAGAATAAAATGTAATATTAAAAAACAGGAGTAATAACAAAATAAATCTGTAATCCTGGTAATGGTATAAAAATATAGTACAATAACGAATGAATTCAAATAATGAAAAGAAATCCATTGTTTATTATTGTAAAGTGTTACATTTATTTTTAATTTCATAGTCATTCCTAAGACTGGAAAGTAATTTACAATTATAATATAATAGAGCCGCGGAGACGCAGTGGTTAGAGTGCAATACCTCTGCTGATCACCAGCTGCCAGCAGTTGGGCAGATTGAATCTCACCAGGTTCAAGGTTGACTCAGCCTTCCATCCTTCCGAGGTGGGTAAGATGAGGACTCAAATTGTTGGGGGCNTATCTCATATATTAGTTTCATCTTTTAAGTTGCATTACTGAAATAAATGAACTTTTTGCACTATATTCTAATTTTTTGAGTTTCACCTGTAGATGTAGTTCCATTGAGGACAATATGCTAAGTAGTTGGTCAGCCAAGTTCAAATCCATCTCATGATTTACATTAGTCAAAATAGTTCTTGTTTTCCTGTATGCTGCTTGGAGAGTCCAAGCATGGTCAAATTCTGTCTGACTGCCCTGGACTGAATTGAAAGATCTTTAGCCACGCCTCCTCTTCCGGTTCTTTAGATTTTTCAATTCAGTTCTAGTCCAATGGACATGTTTTCAGTGGTTCCAGCATATCAACAGAAATTTAACCTTTACTTGGACTTTCCAACCAGCAAAAATGTTTTTTCATCTTGCAAGGAAATAAGGTCTGTTAAAGTTGCTTTTAATTTCCTGGCTTCTGCTGGCGCTTGTTCTGGGCTTCTCTGGGCGCGTGTGGCTTCTCTGACTCTGGGCTACGCAGGCCGGCTTGGGAGCTGCCGTGTTCGCTTTTTGCATTAGCGCAGCGGTCAGCGGCGAGGGGGCCCAGCCGCTGGCGCTTGTTTCAGTGTTGTGGTGCAATGGTCAGTGGTATGAGGACCCAACCATTTGCGGCAGCGTTTTGCAGGCTTGAATTTCACGCTGTGTTTTGGCTGCAGTAGTAGTCGCGGTGGCCATTTTAAGTGAGGGGAAACTTCCGGCAGCCATTTTGTTTTGCAATTTTGCCACGTTTTTCCCTGCACTTTGGAGCGAGCCTTGGAGAGTGGTGGCAGCGTGACTTTTCTGTCCAGCAATCCGGTGGCCAGTCCCCCCCCCACAAGTGGCAATTACTAATAACAGCAAGGTGTTGGTCCTTACCTGAGGCCTCTCTCCAGCTGTTTAATTTGCAGGCACTTGGAGGATCAGATCTCATGCCAGAGATTCCCTCATGGAGGCGCCCTTAAGACTCATCTCAGCCAGCGACCTCTCCGCTTCTGATCAGCAGCTGCAGCTACTCCAACTGTGTTCCAGGTGGTGAGTGGTGACCAGAATACACCTGGCCACAACACAATGGCAGACAACCCCCATCAGGAGGCAATGCAGCCAGGGGCCTCTAGTAGCAGGAGCATTAACAGACAGGCTAGCAAAGCAGCCTCAGAGGCCCTCAGCAGACAGAACCAGGCAGGGGGAAAGAAAAGATCAAAGTCCCAAGATCAAGTTGCCCCCAGGAGCCAAAGAGCACCAAAGAAACAACCTGAACAAGCCCAGCAACAACTGGTGGCTAGTTCTCCAATTCCTGCAGAGCAATTACCAGAGGCCCCAGCTCAGGACCCAACATGGTCGGATAGTGAGGATGAGGGCCATGAATTTTCTTCAGATGAATACTCTGAGTCAGCCACCTCTCCCAGGCCATCCATGGGTGAGAATGTGGATTTGTTCCAGTGCTCCTTGGAAGCAGAGGATTCTACTCCAGTTCTATCACTGGTTCCACAACATCCTCTGCCCCGCTGGGCCACTAAGCATAGGAGGCCTGTGGAAGACCAAGGGCCGCCCCCCCCCCCTCCTCGGAAATGCAGGAGGTTATCACCAAGGTCATATCCCAGGGTATTGCAGAGGGTCTCAAGCAACGTGCCAAGCTATGTTGCAGGGCCAAGTCTTCTTCCTCTAAGGCAGCCCCTTCAGAGGCTACTCAGGGATACGCCTCTCCCCATTCCTCGCTGGACAGTGAGGATTCAGCTGTAGATAAGGAAGTCCTTCCAGAGCAGGAGTTCTCGGGACGAGGGAGCAGTCACAGATAAACCAGCCTTCACTGGCTTGTTTAAACATGTTTCATTCAAGACAATCTTGAATAAGTCCAAAACAGCCACCCGTATGGGAGTAACTGCCACCGATCAGGTGACAGTAGACCCCTCAGACCCTAGCAAAGGTCTCTGAGGAACCGGTAGTTCCCCAGGAGATTGTGCCAGTTTCTAAATTATTTTTGAACGTTGTGCAGCGCCAGTGGGTTCAACCAGGTATTCTAGCCATGCCTGGTAGCAGTGATAAAAAGCTCTATAGCAATAGCAATAGCAGTTAGACTTATATACCGCTTCATAGGACTTTCAGCCCTCTCTAAGCGGTTTACAGAGTCAGTATATTGCCCCCAACAATCCAGGTCCTTATTTTACCCACCTCGGAAGGATGGAAGGCTGAGTCAACCTTGAGCCGTTGAGATTTGAACAGCCGAACTGCAGAACTGCAGTCAGCTGAAGTAGCCTGCAGTGCTGCATTTAACCACTGCGCCACCTCGGCTATTATATAGTGGGTGCTTCTCTGGAGGAATTGTTAAAATTGCCTCAGGTGGATCCTCCGGTACAGGCCCTTACATCCTCCTCACTCTTACCTCCTGACCTATTAGAGGGCTTGAAAGTGGAGGACAAGAGGTCTGAAAGAGCTTGTCACAAGACCCATCAGGCGGCTGCCTGGGCCATCAAGACAGCCACTTCAGCATCCTTTATGTCCAGGGCCTCTCTCATCTGGCTCAGACAGTTTTCGGCTAAGCTTCTGGCAGGGGACACCAAATTGAGGCAGGAGTTTAACAAGTTCTAGCGGTAGCAGAATACACTGCAGATGCCATCCTCAACTCCACCAAATTTGCTTCCAGGCCTCTGGCTTCTAATGTCACCACCAGGTGGCTCTTGTGGCTTCGTCACTGGAATGCTGACATGAGATCCAAGTGGAAGTTGGCCTCTGCCCCCTTTAAGGAAGGAAAGCTTTTCAGGGAAGCCCTAGATCCTGTCCTAGTCAAAAACAAGGACAAAAAGAAAGTTATGCCATCTGTCACTAAGAAGACAGAGCACAAGGGTTCTGGTTATTTCAGGAAGCAATCCTTTTGTGCTTCAGAACCGTCCACTAGCACTGGTCGGTACCATCGTCGGTACAATCAGGGAGAGGACCGGTCATAGGACCGTCAGCCCTTTCAGGACAGGGACAGGCAACAACCCTTCTCCAAGTGGCCTTTTTGTGGCAGATTAGACTCCAAGACTTTCTGTCGCTATAAGTGACAGCCAGCTGATGGTTCCCATTGGAGGGCGCCTGCAACTAGTTCAGGCCTGATGGGAGCAGACAACATCAGACCAGTGGGTTCTTCAGACAATCCGTCTGGGTCTGACCCTATACTTCATTTCCCACCACCACCACTTCATCTGCTGTCCCACCCCCTCTTCCCCAGCTAAGAGGTCCCTAATGGAGCAAGAGATCCAGGACCTTCGGGAGATAAGGTCAATAGGGCAATAGCAGGTCAAAAAGGGTCAGGTTTTTACTCAATCCTGTTCCTAGTCCCAAAAAACTCCAGAGGATGGAGGGGGATATTAGATCTAAAAAGATTACAAACGCTTCAAAATGCAGTCCCTCCAGTCTATCTTGAGCTGCATCAGGCCAGGGGATCTCCTAACATCAATAGATCTCAGAGAAGCGTATCTTCACATCCCTGTTCACAAGGCCCATCGCGGGTTCCTGAGATTCTACTATGCATGAGCACACAATCAATACAGGACCCTGCTGTTTGGCCTGTCATTGGCCCCCAGAACATTTACAAAGGTCCTGGTAGCTGTGGTGGCATCCCTCACATCCGTCCTGCCAGCAAGCGGTCAGAGATCTCTAGATAAACCATGAGAGCCCTGCAAGTCCACAGGTTCTCAATCAACATGGACAAGAGCCACTGCCTATTCGGATGGGGGGCACATCTGGACACTCAGGTCGCCCAGAGCAGGTGGTCCGAAGGCGATCTCAAGCACAGCATAAATTGGCTGGAATTTAAAGCGCCAAGGCTAGCTCTTCTTCATTTTCAACCTAGCATCCAGGGCCAACACATGATGCTGTTGACGGACAATGTGGCCACCAAGGCACATGTCAACCGCCATGGGGGCACTCACTCCAAGTCCCTGATGGCGGAGGTGGAATGCCTGGGGAAGTGGGCGGAACAACACCTGTTGTCCCTTCAAGCGGAGCACATTTCCGGGGTGAGCAATGTCCAGGCAGATTGGATGAGCAGGGCCATGATCAATCATTCGGAGTGGTGCCTGCATCCGGACCTCTTCCTTGAGATCACACGGAGGTTCGCATTTCCCTCAGTTGACCTGTTTTCCACCCCAGAGAACATTCACCTCCCTCGCTTCTCCAGGTACAAGTCCCTGAAGGTGAAGGGGGTCAACGCTCTGCTTTGCCACTGGCCACCAGGTCTCCTCTGTGTTTCCACCACTGCCTCTCCTTCCCAGTGTCATCCAAAAGATCCTCGCAGAACAGGTGGAGGTTCTTCTTGTAGCACCGTTTTGGCCCAGACGGGCCTGGTTTGCCGACCTCGTGAGCCTCTCCATCACCAAGCCGTGGAGGATTCCTCCAGAGGAGGTCTCTCTCAGCCAGGGGGCCCTATCAGGGGGCCCCAATGGCTACAATTGGCTGTTTGGCACTTGAGAGGGACCTCCTAGAGAAGGACAGGCTCTCCTCAAAGGTATCCAAACCATCCAGGCAGCACGTTGACCATCTACTACCAGAATCTTTGAGGCCACCTGGGCAGCCTTCGTCAAATGGTGCGGACCTAAGCAGATAAACCCCACTTCAGCCTCTATTCCACAAGTTTTGGACTTTTTGCAAGGATTGGTCCAGGGATTGGCGGCTAACACCTTGCATCACCAAGTTGCGGCACTGTCCACCATCCTCGCTGCCAGCGACCACCTATCTCTAGCACGTCATTCCAAGATCCGCAGCTTCCTGAAGGGAGCTTCCAACTTGCGGCCCCCAGTCATTCATCGATACCTGACCTGGGAGTTGAATGTTGTGCTTCAGGCTCTAGTCGAGGCTCCCTTTGAGCCAATTCATACCTGTGATCTGAA